AGTTGAATTTAGATTTAATTTTCCTAAATTTTTTGCTATTATTAACATTGTTCATCAATCAAGATTTTTTCCAAATTTTAGGAAAAGTGGGTTAAGTTCTTGTTGCATCAAATCCTCAAATCAACGATCAATTCAAAAATGAATATGATTGAAAAAAATTTATAATCGTTTATTCAGGAATATGCGCAAACACGGATAAGATTGCCAAGCTCGCATGACCTAAAATCTACAGACGCAATATAATTATATATGTCTCGATGGCTTTTAGAAGCAATGAATAATATACATAGGATGCTCAGATAGAGTTATTATAGTTTCCTCCGTTTTATAATTCATCGAGGATAAATGCGATTTAAGTTAGGGCATGGAATATGATCATAGAATCCTGGAAAATCGTCTACCAAATCTGTAGTAAACGACCGGAAATAAGCTTGCCAAGTGATGCTTGCCGTAATCACTTTTACCATTATTCTTCTTCAAACCATATGTTTTATGGCAGACTATTCATTCTGATGGCTACCTCAGCAAATGCGACATATCTTATCTCTTTTTATAATGACAATCTGTCTTAGTTTATAGATTACAAGAATTTTTTTAAATCATTTTAATACTTATATTCATCAGTCAAGTTGCATGACGTATTACACTTTGATACTTATTTCACTGTACTATATATACCATACATATTTTTTATTACTTTCAAGACTTTACTAATAACGATAAAATTTTCGTACTTAAATGTTATTTATTTAGAAATTTTCCCATTTCCATTTTTATGTGCGAAAGCACGCATTTCACCAATTTTCTAAATAACTTTAAGTACAAGTATGTGACGCAGGTGTCGTAAATGGTAATTAAATGACCCAAGTGCCACCCTCCAGCCTTGCGCTTTGTCTAATCGATGTACGCGAATGGCGCTAGTCATTTATATATTTTTCCATTATTCATATCGCTTCTCCGATTATCTTGTGTCATGAATCGTCACGATGGTGAGCGGAACATCAAATGCAGTAAAAAAAATAAAAGAACAGGTCGAGCAGCATGCTTCGCAAGCCACTTATCTATACCGTCGATCGCGACATCCCGCTCCGGTAATGCCGATTATCGCGATAATAATTAAGCGTAATTGGAACGCAGTCAGGCACGCGACCATCGTCGTTCTCAAGCAGATGCGTTTCGCCTTTCCCGAGAGAAGCACATTGTGATCATAAATGTCGTCCTTGCATTCTTCTCCGAGCGAGAGAGCCGCTGCAGGTGCGCGAACACATGCTGATCCCGAGTGCAAAAAAAAAAGAAAAAAGGCACAATTATTATAAAGAGGCGAAACAACAATGCGGAACTAAACTCAACTCAGACATTTGGAGATAGCTTATCAGGATTCCGATAAGATCGAAACAAATTGAACCTAATTGTTTGAAACGATTATCAATCTATTGAGAGCTTAGATTCGTCAACGATGCAGAGAGATCATTAGCGATACGACCACAAAAGGCGATATAGTTTAATGCGAATAACATAGCAATTGATTGAACGTTGTAATCTTTAAAATTTTAATTGCGAACACGATGCGCTTTTCTCATAGACGTGACACAAATTAGAAGATCAGAAAAATTGCGCCTGTTGCATATTAAAAACGTATAAAGAAGCACGAATTCGAGTATGAATGAAATACTTTACGTGTTCTGGAAAACATATCGTGCGTACATGATTTTGTTTGCAATTCAATCATCGCAACATGTACATGAATGCGAAAAACACCGTACAGTAACAATTAATCTAGAAATAATTACACACAACATCTATCACATTTTGATAATCTAATTTATCTAATAATATTATTAGAATTAAATTATCATATATCAATAATTAAATAATAAAAATGATATTCTGCACGTGTTTAAAAAAATGTACCAATTTTTATATTAAAATATCTTATATGAAATAAGATCACATGCAGCTTATGTTACTCTTTAAATCCGTGGAATGAAATTTCACTCGAAGAGACTGAAAATTGCCTGTCATGAAAAAGGAGTGAAAATACGGTCACTCTTGTTCAAGAGTGGTAGATTTTCACTTTTTTTAAAGTAAGATTTACTCTTTTGGAATGAGATTCACTCCGAAGTGAAGGAGTGAAATCTCAATCCTTTTTTTGAAGTGAGGTTCCATCTACTCTAGTATTACATTCCAAAAAAGAGATTGAAATTTCATTCATTTGGAGTGAATCTCATTTCAAAAGAGTAACCTCACTTCAAAATTTTCACTCTTTTTTTTTCAAGACAGGCTCAATTTTCAGTCTCTTCGAGTGAGATTTTACTCCACGAGATTTAGAGAGGTATCTTTAACCCGTCGATTTTTTTCATTTATTTAAAATGGTCCAAAAAATCTCTAAAAATTTACGATACCTTCTAGAACAAATGTTTAAACTTCATTTTGGAAAATAATAAAATATAGCATACAATTCAATTTGTCAAACTTGCAAAAAATTTACGAACAGGAATCGGACATGTAATACTCAGGATAGTATCGTAAATAAAATTAAGTATTAAAACGTTTTTCTATTTTAATTAATTTTAGAATGGAGTTAATATAGTTAAATCATTAAATTCTAATAAGAAGAAAACAATATATATATATATATATATATAGAGAGAGAGAGAGAGAGAGAAGAGAGAGAGAGAGAGAGAGAGAGAGAGGCTGACAATTTTAAATGTCAATAGTAGAACCAATGTTTATATCGTACGATTTATTGTGAAGAGAGTTTCTTCTCGTGTAGATATCCCTTTGAAAGATTCGATAGACATTAATTTCGTTCGCAAATCCTGGAAAGAAATTAATTGTCGGGCAGAACCCGTAAGACATCCTAAATTAATTGTCTTGAAAATATGAATCGATATATTCCTTGACCTTTGCTACAAACGAGAACTCGACCACTCTCGAGAGACAATTCAAAAGATGCACGACTCACTATGCGATAGTGATAATTAGTTCAATTTCTACGACTACAGACGCGTTCACCTTCGAGTACTCCCGAGTACTTCACGAGTCGAGCGTAATTAAGCATTGGCGACCACACACTTAGAGAGTGGTGTACACATTTTCTCTTCCATCTCTGTTTCTCTAAACTTGATCTTCGCTCGCTCTCTCTCTCTCTCTCTCTTCTTTTTTCTACATATTAACTTCCCCTCTAAATGCCTAAGCAATAAGTCACGAACCCAGTTGTACTCCACTCGGCGCACATGCGAGGCTGAGATCATCGACACTTATGGTTATAATACTTTCCCCCGTCGATGCCTTATCTCTCTCGTCCCGCTATTTCCTTTCTTCTCTTTTATTTGCGACTTCTTCGTCTTTTATGCATCTCACACAATTTTTTCTGCCCGTATTTACGTCGCATATACTTCTCGTTCGCAACTTCGACAAAAACGCTTAACGTTGTTCTCGCCGATTAGTTGTTGAGAGCTACAAAGAACGTACTGTATAAAGAAAATTCACCGTGTCCCGGATAAGTCGATGACGTCTTAAATCATGGCAGTGCAAAGTACGACGTAGTAAAAAGAAGCAGAAAATATATTAAAGTCAAGAGTACTATACATAGTTGTTACTTCTCGTGAAATCGATTTGCAAGTCTTTACCTTCCAATAGCATATATTTTAACACAATACTATCCGACACATATGTTATAAAACAATATTAAGTACATTTTTATTTTCATTTTATTCGTATTCCAACAATATTAAATTTTTTTTTCCTTCATTTGTTTGGAATTTGAAAACAAGCTTGAAGTTACTATATATATTTAGATTTTCAACTTCTATATTAATATTTATATACAATGTGCAACATATACAAATGTACAAAAAATGTACGAAATATATAAAAATGCAAATATACAAAATGCAAATATATAAATATATAATATAAAATGTGTGATATCTATAAAATAGATGTCATAATAAACAACTATCAAAAAGTAAATAATTATCAAATTCATAATTATTTTTAAATTATTAGTAAAAAATGTCAAATGTGTTTTCTTAAATTTTTTGTACATTATAATTTATATTATAACTATATCTCTCATATATTTAGCATTTTTTATTATAAATTTAATTATCTCTGCACATTATTGATATATGTTATTAAAAACTACATATAAGGATTATATGTCTTCATAGTTTGTGAACTGGGAGCATCAGTTGTTACGACAGACTCAATTCATTATTCGTGCATCTGCTTCCTCGCGATAACGCACGAAGAGGCGTGGATCAGATGTGATACACTCGTTCGTGTGCGTACATATATTCCCGCGAGATATAAAAGTATCAAGTCTCGAATAAAACCGTGTCGACGCGAGAAATGCAGCTGTGAAGCAGGAGCTTTGAGAATTCATTCTAAACACGCGCCGATTTCGCAGTGGCTTCTTTGCCGTATTGAAGCCGCAATAAAGTTCTCGCGAATAAGTTACACACACATACACATACCGAAATTATTAAGTTTCAAATAGAAGCATCATAAAATCCCGATCTCACAAAAATACCTATTGAAATCTAAAAACATTTAACTTTTTTATACTTCTTTAATAATAATCTTTTTTTGTTTTATAAAAAGAAAGATTAAACAAGATCGAGTTTAATTTTTTCATGGACTCAAATGATCTCACATTTGCCAATTTCAACAATAATTCAAGGCTGTCAAACTGGCTGCAGAAGTGCATTACCCTCTTCGAAATAGAATGCATTATATCGCTATTTTAGGCGTTCTGTTCCAACGTATAATAGGAAGTGCGAAAATAAACAGTGGATTTAATTGATTTTCTGTCTATATTATCGCCGCGTAATAATACTTGGTTTCACAAGGGAACGCGCAAAAATAATATTTCCTACCACGGTGATATAAAGCGCAATACAAGCAATTGTGGTAATGCATTTCCATGGCTATTCCATGAAAGCTATTGTTCATCGTAGATGTGCTTGTTTCGAACAAAATGAAAAAGAAATAGAGGCGTATACTTCCTGGAATAGATATTCCATTGTCGCTTGTGTTTGGTAAAAATCCTCTCTTTAAACTCACCTGAAACAGAAAAGAAAGGGATAGATCAGTGTTACATTCCAGTGTCAAAGTATCAAATTGTTACTAATTAATTAAATCATCATACAAAAATATGGTCAGAAATTTTCGGAGCATTGATTACAAAATTTAAAAAGAACATTGATTATTACTTTTCGTTATAAATTTTGTGTTCTTTGAATAAATAAATCATTATTCGTATTTTTTTTTAATATTAAATATTTTCAATGTATATATACAACAGAGTTTAATGATTTGAATAAAAATCTATTTTAGATGTTTCTTATAACCTTATTACTCACATACAAAATTATTCGCGAATACAATCTACAATGTAATGATTGTACATCAAAATTATAACCATTTCCAAAAATTTGTTTTCTATGTTACGCATTTTATTTGCAATGGCACATTAAAAAATGTAATCGTTTCTGAGAGAAGTATATTAACAACGTTTGATCAATTTACAGGACCCTCAGCCAAGAGTGTATCAATTACTAATTAAATACCAAGAGATATGTTTTGTTGGTCCATCTTTATTACATTATTTGTTAACTCGTTCAAGGCACTATTGTGGTAACGATGATGTTTCTCGGGCGAAAAAATGAGGCTATTCAGCCGTGATCACACTCGAGACGAAACCAAGTGTTAGACTGTAGAGTGAAAGACAGTGATAAATGAGAAGCTGACAAGAAATACGGCGTGTCAAAAAAATGGTGATTCCTCGAGAAAGCGAGAGTGGCCCGAAAACGTCGCGAGTGGTGGGAATTTAGTCTGTAATACATCCTGAAAGGCGTCAGGTTTTTATTCAGGATTTTTAGTCGCTTACTCGTTTTTCGAGAGGCTCCACACTGTTTAACGAATATTAACACGCGCAGATATCGCGTTTGTTAGAACGTGTGGAAAGAAAGAGTAAAAGAACGGTTACGGGATATACCGGATTAGTAGTCGGAGAACCCGGATCGAGTTCTATGAGTGAAAGTGACTCGACGCGCGAGAATTATCATGCACACTTACGCATGCATAAAAATATTTTTCTTGCTATTATTCGTAGAAAATATATGTTTCAGAGAAAAGGAAATAGTAAATTGCAAATTATAATAACTATGTTAAGCAATCATAATGTAATTCTTGGTCTACTTTGTTACATAAATATTAATACTTATGTACTTAATACTTATTTTTTGTGATTCACAAAATAAAATACGAAATTTTCGCGACTAATATACAAATAATTTGGGATACACATATTAGTATTTTATATTACATAATATACCGAATTTTTCGAAGTATCATAAAGTTTGATAGAAGCTCAGTACACTAAAAGATTGGTTGCTGCAACAATTTAGATGGTTAAATATGGTATAGCATTTTTAATTGGTTATAGCAATCAATTTTTGGTTGCGTTAGTCTATCAAAAAATGCTATGCTATATTCAACCAAACTTTTCTTTCAGTATAGTTATTTCGGATAGTTATTGTTAGTCTAAAGCGTTAAACGCGTGTGCATTTAGACAATCTCGCCACACACATGACTAAGAGAATTCCCTGAGACAGCAGAATAACCCCTATTTCCAAGTTGATTCAGAGGGACAGCTTTTAGCCCGACGCCGCTTTAATTATGTATTTTGCCACGGAGGGAGAAACAGCATTTCTAGAGTTACGGTCGCACCATGCGTGATTCATCGTTTATTTGGTCCACTGTTGTATATGCCGCCATTTATTCGTCGGACTGGGTAATACGTGCAAGTGCACGCTCTATTTCTTATCGTCTCGTTTTCTATCGCATGACGCACGCATAAGGGATATGCTTCTCTCCGAAGAGGAACGGAACCGGTATACAAGTAAGGAGAAAGGCGTTTGACCGTAAGCTCCTGGAACAGCAAATAATATCGATATAAGGCACTTTATTACCGCCACCGTTACTTTTATTGCCGACCTTGTTGGCAGTACATGATGAATGTTCTTAGCCATATATGTATATATGTACGCACATATAATTTTTTTGGCGTGAAATAACAATTTATTATCGTCATATTCGTGGTCGTGTCAATTCACGAAATATTCTCTATCTCTAACGATGATATTACTCTGCAATAGAATATTATCAAACGGAATATCTTTTATAGCGGTTTTTTAACTTTTCAACTTCCACAAATGAGTCCTATAAATGATCTTTTCAGAATAATTCTGCCAGAAAATTCTGATAATTTTTGTACAATAGATTTTTATAATTAATTTTTAATTATAAGTTTTTGTCTGTTGCGAGACAAATAAATAAAAAATATATACAATTAACATGAAAATATATAACTTATTTATTCAGGGCGAGCCATTAGTCCCTCTTGGAAATATTACTTTATAACTCTACTTTAAAGATTTAATTTTTTATTTATTATTAAAAAATTAATATAAATTTAATAACATTCAAGTTATTTACAGAATTATGCAATAACAAGAGGTAAAATATACTACAAGAATTGTAATAGCTGTTTCAATATTATAATTGCAATTTTAAAGAAATACCATATCGATGTAATAAGAATAAATAGCGTTGTATTATATATATATATATATATTTACGCATTAATATGTTTATTTACTATTTTAATATAATTTTTAACCTTATAAACATGCTGTTATACAGAAAATTTTTTGGGGTTAACTGCTCGTTTTACTTTGAAACTTAGAAACATTTGGAAAATTAGTACAGGAATTGCAAAATTAAAAAATTATAATTATTAGTAAATGTTGATAAATAATGAATCAGTTTGCTTCGTCACAGATTTTCCAATATCATGATGCGACGTCATAAACGCGAACGAAGAAATTTAATTCGTGATGTCTCTCGTGTCTAGTCACTTAATCGTGAATATGCCGCAAAACATCGCAGCTGGCAATCTCGTTACGCGACCGTGAAGAATCTAAGAAGACTAAGTTTAACAGCCAGTTAATTAGATTCGTAATTAATAGAAGCATGCGTGCTCGTTCCGCTAACGGATAAACAGACAGAGTGAGAGACTGCAAAAATTTTTTAATGCGACTTTTTCCAGATACGTATGACGATCCACTTTCCCAGCTGAACGCATCGCCGAACCTTTTGCGAGGGAAACCCGGTATAATTTAATAACGCTAATCTCACTGTATATACGTGTATTATTCATCGCCACTTTTACAACGTTCACGCGCTGCTTTTGCCGGATGTCCCACTTCTGTTGCCACTATTATACTTTTGCACGTTGCACTCGCCGCGCAGCTTCGTTCACGGACGCACGAGTCATGTATAATTTTTAACATGATTTTTTCCTCGATCGAAGATATTAATATTACATACAGAGATGACACACAATGAGAACGCAGTTCCATGATTTAAAAATACAAGAATAAACGTGCTATTTTTAAGTAAATATAACGTTACTTTTTTTTTTGCTTTTAAGTATTAGCTTAACGATGAACATTATTTATAGGATTTATCATTAAGAGTAATTTAAATATATTGCAAAGAAGACTACAATTTACAACACACGTATGATGCCTTACTATTTCCTCTCAGAAAACAGAGGCAAATATTTCTTTGAAAACTGCTTATTGACGATAAATCTTCTCCGAGATGTTCGTGAGGGTACGAAGAAAAAATATTAGCTTTGGGCGAGAACTCCGAAAATTGCGTTAGGGGAAGAACTTTAAATAAGCCTCCAAAAGCTTGATATAATGCTTGATGAAAAAGAATGGCAAAAATATAAATAAAGAAAGTTTATTTTTACAGAAACGCAGATATATGGCATAAGCGGTATAAATCGAAAATTTAATTATTGCAGATGCATGTTTTCTTACCTGTATGTTTTAATCAAATTAATGAAGATAGACCAAAAAATACGTACTTAAACACAAATAAGAGAGAAGAATGACATTAATTCTAGTCGAATTTTTAGTCAAAGCGAGTCTTGGTGACAGTATTTACAAAGTTACTTTGTTAGTAATGTTACGTAAATATACAAATACAATTGTCAGATTGGGTTACTACTATTCCTATCTAATAGTGCACCTCGGTATTCAAATATGGTTGTCACTTATGATTACTTCAAATATGTCAATTTTCATTAATAAAAGTGGAAATTGTTATCTGCTCTTAAACCTATTAACATAAAATAAACTGACAAACGGAGAGAATTTTTCATTACATTTACCGCAAAATTCACTACAAATTTTACCATGTTTAGTGATAAACGTGAGACAATTTGATATGTTAAATATCGTCGTAATGATAGGAATTTCTGAAATATACAAAAGATATTTTATAAATTACGTAATAAAACTTATCGAGCAAATTATAAATTATTTTAATATAAAATATTTACAATGCACTTCGTAAAATTTATACATTATATTTTAATATAGATTAGTTGTCATTATATTATGACTTTTAGAATATAACTTCTTGGAACTATTAAGATTCCTGAACTATTTTTGCATACAACTAATGCAACTAAAAACTGTGTTGTTAAAGTACATCTCTCAATTACATTCTTCGTCAAGTGCATTTTTAGGATCAGAGTGAACAATTTTATAATGCTACGTCTTTCATTCTATTCTGGGTGGTTTTTTAAATGCAAGAAATTAAACTCCGTTGCATCCGTCCGCAGAATATTGTTTGCTGGTGAACGACTTTAGTGATGTTTTAGTAAAGATAAATACATCATAGCTGATCAATTATCATGCTGTTTGGTAAAATTATCATAAGCGATCAGGTTGAAAATATGCTGTATTATAAGATTTCTATGAAATATTTTATATGAGATATTTTATCACTACTTGACATCTATTCTATTTAAAACAATAAAAAATCATAGACTGTTTAACATATTTTTAAATCATTATTACGCCTTTTAGTAAAATTAATCAAGCATATTTTATATTTTATTGTGGAAATATTAATAAATCAGAAAAAATTATATAAAATTTTTTGAAACATTGTGTTATTCCACAATTATCACAATTTTCAGGTAAATTCTAAGAAAAAATTCTCTTTGTGTACTGTTGGCAAAGTATAATTAATACAATAAGGAACCAAAAAATCATTGAAATATGAAGTAGAAAAACAATTTGATTAAAGTCGACATCTATATTAAAATATTAAACCTCCAGTATTAATAATATATATATATACATATTTAAAAATACTGTCGTTTTCTTTTTAATATTTATATATTAAAAGAATTTTATTTGCGAGGAATCTAAATCAGGACGTCGCGATAAGTGTTTTCTAGAAAATCACGGTGTTTCTGACCTAGTAATTAAGTTTCCCTTTAATAAAGTCCCAGCTAGAGATGACATCGAAGGATCGGTTTCTGGTTTGTGACGGAGAAAAAGGGACAGTCAGGGTCGTTACTCTCGGCGGATGACGAGGCAGGAGTTCACGGGTCTTCGTCGGAGTAAACGTGACTCATCCGTGCGCCCTAAGGAGGGAACTAAGAAACGTAGTGAGGAGGAAAGCAATGTTCTCTATGTCGAAGCTGACTCGAGAGTACATCCGGACGCGAAAGTCGATTCACGCTCTTGGATTGCGGTAAGAACATGATCATGGCAAATCGAGTGTTTCGTTTCGCGTAGTACCCTCAATACTGCGAGAATTACTGTAAACGAAATACACCAGGTGTTTTCAACATCCTGTACATAATAAAATACATGGAATCTTGATAGATTTATATTTTCCTGTCAGTAAAATTTGTGATAAAATTGATTACTCTCAATTAAAAACGTCTCATTATAGTCACTAAACGTTGAGAGAAATAATTTCAACCGAATGTTTAGGTAATATAAACGCAATTTTACCTTTACAATAATATTTAGTGAGTAATTCCGTTTGGTAATATTTACTAAATATATGTAAAGGTAAAATTAAGTTTAGTTATATTATCTGAACATTTGATTGAAATTATTTCACTCGACATTTGATAGCTATAACTCTCTTTTTAGTGCAAATATACTATTAGATATCAAACACTGAGAGAAAGGATTTTGTTAATTTAGCAAGCCTCCAGTACCTTTGACCGGTGATCGGTAAATACGTGACAACAAATTATGTTGTTGTGATTGCTGCTAATCTACTATACCAACCAATTATTAGTAACAGAAACAAACTATATAGAATCTAACCTATCTTTTAGATAGACTTTAGGTCGTTTACATAGAATTCATAGATGATCGTGGAGTCTTAAGTCGTAGGAAATCGACCAAGCACAGTCAAATATAGGAAGAATACTTGACTAGAATTAGTCAATTTCTTACGATTTGAGACCCTGCAATCGTCTGCGACTTATATATGTATATATGAGCCTCTTATTTGCTAGCGATACTATTGATTATTTGTTAGGTATATTGACGAATTAATTTGCAATCGTAACAAATCGATCGTTTTTTTAACAAATATCACATTTGCTTTCCCTTGATTTGTTCTTATAACAAAATCATTTCTCTCAGTGAAGAAGCAGTGCCAATGCTTTGAATTAAATAACATTTTATTTAACTTCCATGATGTGTGTCAGAATGTAAATCAATCAATTTTCGTATAGTTAGTTTCAAAGTGAATAACGTCTATATTAACATGTGTATGCATTTAGCAAATAAACTAAATTTGAATCAAATTTAATACATTTTCTTAAATTAAATAATTGTTTAACTCCGTTGTTTTAGTTAAATTAACGCTATACTGAATGAAGTAGACCATAGAAATAATAAAAAAATAACTTAGATTATAGTATAAATTGATATTATGAATTTAATAGTGTATAAAAATTTTATTTTAACTTCTGTGTATCAAACTTTGAATAAATGTTAGTACATATTTTAAGAGTAATCTTTAATTTGATATATTTTATTATTATAATATTCGAGATCTAGCCGCATTTTATAATGCTACATATATTGAAAATCATGAAAATCACGATCAAAGCAATAACGTGATATAAATCAACGATGTCATGCTATTTCTGGGATTCAATAGCATCATCTTTCTAAATAAACTATCAGAAGGGCACGTCGGATCGATTCGGTGAATTATGCAGATGCAACGAGAAAGGGGAGTGGTTGATAGGATGCAGCATCGATAGGATGACGCTCGCACAAATAAGGTGCGACAAAGCTTGAAAAAAGTTTAACTCTAACGGTAGTGAGCCACAGAACTATAGGGATATTCATCTAGTCATGACCCGTGCCATAAAGTAGCTTTTAAAGTGATCGAAAGGGAGATGGAAGGGCGGTGCAATTGTGCTGTCACAATGGGATACATTTTTGCGGATTAAGGCGCTCTTTATATGCTCATTGTTCCCGAATCAGGCCCAACCATCTCTGTGCGTACACATAGGTGACGAAGGCAATTATGTAGGTCGCGCAACTCTTTTCCGTGAATGAAAATCCCAACAATGGAGGATGATCCTTATCGAGTAACGTAATTATGCAAATTAATGCGGAGGCTCATTTCGAGGCGCGAATTTCAGACAAGTCAGATGGTGTGATTTGAAGCAGACAAAGGTGTAAAACGTCACATTTCTCACATCTCGTGACAATAAGCTTTCCAGAAGTTACAGAAATCGACAGTTACACTGTGTATTTTTGTTTGTTTCTTCCTTTTTAATCAATTGAGATTAGATCTTTCATTATTAAATAAAAAAATATTGGAATACTTTGTCAAGACTATACTCATCCTACTTCATACTTTAGTTGCATCATATTTTAGTTATA